CCCATTCCCATTCCCATGCCCGTGCCCATTCCCCCCAAGAAACCGCAGCAAATTACTTGCGGAAGTGTGCCACGCCCACTAAAGTGCATGTTTGACTCATCGAGTGGAGTAGCCGTGATCTGGAAGTCAAGGAGATTGTCCATGTGGGTCTCTGCGATTGAGTCACTCAGCGCAGCGTCATCATCATTATCATTATCGTCCTCGTCGTCGTCGCAGTGATCTTTGTTTTGGTCCATCCGCATCCTTCCAGCTGCGTGCAAATTTGTGCTTTTTAAAAACAAACTAAAGTTGAGAATTATGTCAAACCAGTTCCTATCTCCGAACTCCGTTCTCGTTCTGCATCTTGAGTCCGCATCTGGATCTGTGAGATCTCCCGATCTCCTTTCCGACTGGAATTGAGTAATTTGTTGCAAAGACAATTAGATGCAACAGATTGTTGACTAAGTGACTGAAACGTTTACGTTTGAGTTTGGTCTTTGCATCTTCGGTGAAAGGAAGTCGACGACGGAGCAGCTCATTTCGAATCCATGAAGATGTCTTTTTGGCCCCGGAGGCCAACAGTTGGACTCGAAGGAACAACGATGAGCTGCTGACAAGATGGGATGAAAACCAGGCACTGAAAAAAGAGCAATGAATTCAAAAATAAAACTATTATAGTTATTAATAATTTTTTTATCAAGTCTACAATTCGTTAAATAAATTGTTATAAATGTAACATCAAAATTTATATAATTTATATGTCTTTTCATATAAAAATAATCTCAAAAATCTATATTTTCCTTTAGAAATCTAGGTAAATTTCCTGTTTTCTCAAAGTGTCGAACAGGAGAGAGTTCAATTGAGTTCAGTAGACAACAACTAAGATGAAGATGCCACCGCTGCGAGCTGGCTGGGATTGGACCCTCGTAGCATTTCATAATTTTCAGCCAATTATGCGAAAATTGGCCAGCGTCTCTTTCGGGGGCCAGAGCCAAAACAAACACAGACCTTGGGCCCAAGTTAATGACATTGAATGGGGTCAGGCCCCAGCCGTGGAAGAAGCACCAACAAAAAAAAAAATAAAACCCAGAACCACAACGAGTACGAATCCGAGGAAAGATTGCTGACAGCAATCAACAGTTGTGGACTGCGGCTCTGGCCGCATGTGAGTGTCACTCTTCCCCAACTCGGCCCCTTTGGCAGTCAGCAGTTTATGTCTGGCAAATCACCAGGTGTACTCATAACCGACTAGGCAAAGGCTCTTCTATGAGTAAATAATTAATAAAGAATTCTATAAGCTTTAAAAAATTGCAAGAAGAACCTAGAATGGAAAGTTTCCCTAAAAAATCAAGTAAATTAATTGAATTATAAAAATTAGTATCAAATTTAATCTTCTCTTATTAAAAATCATTATTATTAAGTATTATGACAGGCATCTTGAGTTTTTTATTATCTCCTTTAGGCCGCTATTGAAATTAGTTCTGCTGATCCCAATTTATCTTGCATTTTTGGCCTGGATCATCATCATTCACCTACTTTTGCGTTTCAGCGATCCCAGAGATAGCAGCTAATGGGATACGACTCAGTTCTTATCGCACATTAATTGGACGATGGTCGCTGGATTGGATATACCCGCCGCGGGTTAGAGATCGCGATTCAAGATTCGCGATCATCATCGCTGTTGCTGCTGCCTCACCCAATCTCTCCCAGTCGCAAAACACGTGCACATCAAACTCTACGCTTTATAATTGGTTTGTCGAGCTGCCAGCAACCGGCTAAGTCGGGGTCTTAGCCTCAGATTCAGTCTTCAAAGCCACAGCTCAAGCTCACATGTGTCTCTCTCTCCCTCTCGGTTAAGGCCAAAGAAAAGCCGGGGCTGTAAGACAAGCACTGTAAGAAAATGGGGATGATCTTGAGGCTTTAGATATACATAATATCAAATCTTATATATGTATTTGTTTTGAAATGGAAATTTTGATGATTTTATAGAATTTCTAATCTATATTTTTGATACTTAAATTTTAATTAATTTTATAATTTACCTTTCTCTCTGTGTGACCAAAAACCAACGTCAGCGATGCTAAGTGAATTAAAATAATGCTGCCGCTGCTGCTGACCATCACGACGATGCTTATGATCATGATGATGATGTTGATGCCTGATGCTGATGAGCCCGGGTCTTAGGAACAACTCCCAACTCCCCTCGCTGTGATCCTCAGCCTCGCTGATGATTCTATTTATTACATGGCAAGCAATTTGCGATTCCGCTGCGTTTTAATTATTTGCCATGCCCGTTAGTTTTAATAAAGTTGCTAACTGTGAAAAGACGTGACTGGGAAAATGAGCGTTTAATTCGCACGGGGGAAAGTGTCGGGTCTAGTCAGGCCAGGTTCTAGTAGTACTGTGGAGCAGCGTCCAGACCTCGGTCCAGACATCTGATTAAAATCTCGCCGTGTCCCGCAGAATTTCGCAGAAAATTCTTACACGCAAACGGGCAAACAACGGCCATGGGACGACAGCTGAAAAGTTGCTACGTTAACACCCATGCCTTAAAGTACCACAGATCGTGGAGCATTTCGTGCGAAATTTTATCACGCAAGGCATTTGAGCGACGCCATCTGATAAGCATCTGTGCGGGGAGCTTGGGTTTTTTGGCTCAAAACGGTGGACACCCCTACTGATTTCGCGATCTTGGCCAGCAGATTGCAATCGGATCGCGCTCCCAGCACTGATAGCAACGAGAAGCGAGCGATCCTTAAGTCACGCCCCAACAACAAAGGATCAGGGATGGTCAATTGAATTTTCTAAAAAATATTTAAGCTTTTAAAGACTTTTTAAAAATATGATAATTAATATTTAAATATATTAACTGTCATAAATTTAGCTTACAATATTTTTTGGTAAAGAAAAACGCATTTAAATATATAAATATCAATTTTTGTAGACATTTCTTAAAATCTCAAAATAATTTAAAATATTTTTGATTTTCCAAAATAATAAATTTAGATTTTTAAAATATATATAATACCCATAAAAGTAGCCAAACCATCAGCACTCTGAAAATCTCCCAGACTGGGGACGCCTTTGTCTTATCTCCAGCTGGGCATCTGCTCATCTCATTCCATTCCAAATCCCTGCAATTCTCCTCCTCCCCATTCGAGTAAAGGCAACTGCTTCAAGGCGCCTTGAAACATCACAAAAAGGGGCGTGGCAGGGCTGCAGCTGATGTTGCTTCTTTTTTTTAAGGTTTTTTTTATGTAGGTTCGGGTGCCAAGTGTTTGCGCCAAGCGTTGATTGTCCTTATCGCCGTCGCAGATCATTGCTGGATCGCTGGAACGTTGCATCCTCTCTGGGGCCAAGAGAAGCACAGGCATGCGTAGATGCTGCCTAGAGATCGCAGATTGCACTTGCGTGCCAGACTCGCAAAAACAAAAAGGCAACAGCAGAGGGGAGAAAAACCAGTGCCAAGTGATGAATGTCCGTGTTATGCGATCTAATGATCTAGAAATGAAGTTAATAAATCGTTTAACCAGATGGCACAGCTCTGGACGAGATCGAGAAAAGGAGGCTGAGGCTGCTACTTGTTGGATGTTGGATGCTTCAAGAATCAGACATAGAGATGACAGGGATTTGAAGTGGAAATATTTAATTTTCTATACCAAGATTATCAAGTCTTTCTTTTGTTGAATAAAATTATAATTATTAATTGTATTTATTCATTTTATTTTTTTATTGGTTTTGTTTTATTGATTTTATTTTTTGTTTGTTATTTCTGGTCTAAAGTATATAGAAAAACCAACATTATTTCACTCATACCACATTTAATTCTAAAGCAAAACCTAGCTAGAAATCCAACACTGCCACACTTGCCCCGTTTGGCAACTGATCGACCACCGGGCCCGGTCTCCAGCGACAATTTGCATAACTACTGTGCTTATGCTGCAAACATAACAAATTACAACGATTTTGCGTACATACCATGGCCATGGCGTGCCATCCCAGAGCAGGAGGAAAACGAGGCGTTTAGCAAATATCTCTTGTCGTCCCATAACGGGACTCCGAGCAGTGCAAACAAGGCCGAGTTAATGCCCCGGCACATGGTAATAGCCATAATAAGGCCGCCGCAACGAGACAAGAAAACATCAGTTGGAATTATATGCAAACCCGGTAACAAATCACCACATTCCTTCTTGTTCAATTTTGGTTACTTTATTTTGTAAAATTGCTTATGCTAAGATGAATATTTTTTAGATTGTGCAAATTGCATTGCAGCTTAGATTAATATAAATAGGCGGCAGTCGAATTAGTGGTTGTTTTCGGTGATTTAATGTGCATTAGATGTAAAATCTGTAAAGAAGATAAATAAATTAGTCTCTATATAATTTAATTTATTGTTTAAACAAACTTACCAAATGTATGATGTTAAAATAATAGCCACATACCCCAAAAATAAGCGAGAGAAGATCTGTAATCAAAGAGAATTCTTGATTAGTCAAGTGTTATAAGGTATTTTAAAAATAAATACTGTTTTTTTGTTAAGCTCAGATACTAATTTACAATCAAATCATTTCATTAGTCTAACATATGTAAAAATCATCATTGTTTTCTGTATTTTTTTTGTAATTTAAAGCTCGTTTCTTACCTTAAAATCTTATTTTTTTAGCCTTTTCAGGATATAGGCAGCTAGAACTGAAATAAAGAAATGTAAATAAATAATTAATAACATTTTCATAAATTTTACAAGTTCAGTTATAAATGTTTGTTATCAGAAAAATATAACTTTACACTAATCAAATCTTTTCATAGGTGTCCCAAGGTAAAATCGTAAATCATCATTGAATTTAATTATTATAAACTAATTCATAAATTTAATTATTATAAAAATCAGGCTTACCTAATTCCATAAAGAAAACAGTTCCAATTGAGCTTTTATAAATTTGTTCTTCCGCAGTCTGAAAAATGTAAGATTTTCATATTATTATCACATAAATTTATACAGCAAAAAAAAAGGATTTTAAAGATGAAATCAGTTAATATAATTTACACAAATCAAGGCATTTCATAGGTGTCCCAAGGTAAAATAGCTGTCATCATTAAGAACCATCTTTAAATTAAAAATAATTCCAATTCAAAACTTACCTTAGAAGGCATAACGCGTGCGTATATCCTCCAGCTTTTTGCAGATCTGATTCGGCGTCCGGAACATATCCCCGGCGATGCTCTTCTGTTTGGCCGCATCAATCGACAGATATTGCTCGCAGAGATCGCCGTCCAGCACGTTCTTCACTGGATAATACGAACTCCTGTAGCTGAGATGATCGCGTCCGCAGAGCGGTGGATTCTCATTGCGCATATGCATCTCCAAATGCTGGAAAAAGTCATAGTCCTCGCGACTCGTAAAGGGCACAAAGGCGCCAACTGTTCCACTGAGCGTCGAGTAGATCAAGGCCTCCGATCCGCCAGGTATTAGGGTGGCCTTCTGCAGTGACATTATAATCTCGCCCACATGGAAGGAGCACACGTTCTCAGATTTTTGTGATGCACCAGACAACAAGCCTCGATCCCATAGAGATTTAGTGCCTGTGGGATCCTCATCCACATCATCCGTCACCGAATGCGGCAATCGCTGAATGCTCAGGTTACCAAACTTATCCGCAATGGCTATGGTATCGTAGTCCAGCAGCGTAGTGGCTGTCACCCATCGTGGATGCGTGTCGTCCGCAAAGATAATCAACTGATTTTCAGCGCGTCGATAGCGGATAAAGAATACAGATTCCTGGACATCCGACACGTAGACGCGATGTCCCATGGCCTGAATGTTGACAATCTGGTAGGGAATGTGTTTGTTCTCGCACTTGCGCAGCATTTTCTTCTTGCCCAGATCATAGATCCTCAGCATGCGGCCACAACCGGCTAGCAGACGACCCTGGAAGCCACACAGGGCACCGGGAATCTCCTCAATCTCCGTGCGATGCATAAACTCCAGGCTCGAGCAGGTGGGATCAATCTTGTAGATATCGATGCAGCCGCCCTGGGATATCCTGGGGTTCAGTTGCAAATCCTTGGCTATACCCACAGCCAGGTAATATCGACCATCTGCCGCTATGGAGAACTTGACCATGGCCATTGACATGATGGCCTCGTTTTGGGTGAGCGGAATATTGAACATTGTCTGACCATGCATGGCATCTAGGCAGCGGATCTGGGAGGCCCAAAGACCCAATCCCGCCTTGGGGGCAGAGAACACATCCTCCGGGAGGACTTCGTTTATGAAAGCATCGGCCATTTCACGGGCCAGCTCTCTTTCCTCATCCCCCGCGGCACTACGCATCTCCTCGGCCATCTGCTCCTTCCTCGCACTCTTCGTATCCTCGGTGTAAGCATTGTGATCCGTTTCGGCGATCAGCATGCGTCCCGTGTCCGGATGAATGACAAAGGTACGCGGTGTATATTGCAGGGGGAATGCCACTTGATTGAAGACGGCTCCCAGCTTCTCAAGGGCCAAAATCCTCAAGGTGTTGGTAGATATAGCCACAATACCTTCGCTACACTGCTCGCTGGAGAACCCGGAAGCGTACTCAAGGGTTTCATACGACAGTGGCGTCAAATGGAATCTGTTCTGATGGTAATACGACAGCCAAGATCGGCTGGACATGGCCAGCACAGCTTCCGCTCCTTGCATCTTAATCCGGAATAGTTTCACAGGCCGAGAGCCCAGATACCGGGTACGGGTATCAGCCAAATCTCCGGAAACTGGATCCAGCACTGTTCGCAGCAAGACGCCATTGCTCAGGCCAATATTGAGATAAATGGTTCCCTTATTGCTGCCACCTCGCTGGGCAGGCGCATCATCATCCAATGGTCCTCCACTGGTCGTACTCTCCGTGTGCCCCATTTCCACCAGACAAAGTGACTCTGCCGGCGATGGCAAGGCTTGCATAGAGCAAGGAGTCAGGCAATTGTTGGGATCTAGGGATAGGATTCGCACTGTATTATCTGCCAGGCCCACGGCCAAGAACCAAGAACGCTGTTCGCCATCGGGCACTGTTCCCAGAGCCATGCACATAATTTCCGCTGGCATTTCCGAGCGTTCCGTGTATTCGTTGAGCTCGCCAGTCTGCAAGGATCAAAAGTAGCCTTCAATTAGCTCATGTTCTTGGTAAAATATTTCAGGATTTGTAAGATTTGTGAAGCTCAGCACTGCAGGACACATAGTGTCTCAACATGATTGTTCTTTTCGTGTTTTTGTCATCAAAGCAAATAATTTAAATAATTAATTTATAAAATTTTAATTAAATAAAAATAATTAATTAATTAAAATAATTAAATTTTTTAATTATTTAAATTTTTTAATCAATTTTATATTTTAATTTTAAAAAATAAAATTCTTACCGGATCCATTTCAAAGTAGACCAGCTCCCTGCCCGACAAGGTAATAACCACCTGTCGCTGATTGACCGCACACTTGGTAATCGATTTCTTGCCCGGAGCCTTCCACTCGTTCACACGCTTATCAGAGCGAATGTGACGAATGCCATCGGGATAGACCTGAACCAGGGCATCATCGCCCAAGGCGGCACAGCACAGAGTAGGCGTTGTGCCCAAGAAACCACTGTCTGTGACCTCCTCAACGGTCTCGCCAATACTCAGGACCAAAGTGGCATTCACGAAGGACACAATGATGTAGGCATCAAACTCGTCTAAAAGTAGGGGAACAAACACACAAAAACTTGGCTGGTGAGTAGGTGAAATATAAACTTGTAAATTCATAAACATTTGCCTAACTTTAGGCAGACATTGAATAATCAGTTTATCAAGTTGAAATCAATGGATAATTCAGCTGAAACACGGTTGATAATTATCGCATCATGTTCAATGTCCGACTGGCTTAAAAGTACTTGTGATTTATTGGTTTTTTTGGATAGTAGTAGTAGTATCTGTTGACTTATGAGCTGCTTGAAATGTTGCCTTACCTATCGCTTCACAAAAGACAATTTAAATTTTACACAAAAGCGTTTTTTAAATCGCATTTGTCTTTTTCGATAGTCACACACATGACGTCTGTGTTTCTGTGTTTAAGCGCCTGAAATAAGAGAGAACTGGTGGTTGATAACTTGTGGGACTAGTTTGGGGGGAAATCTATAGTTAGGTGTATTCTATAGCTCGATCTGTATCAATGCACCAGTTGAGTTATTAGCCACTTTTTCAGTCTTACATCTAAGCCTTAACCTAGGAATTAATGAGTCAGAGGAAGAACTCACCATCAGCTCGTTTCTTCACTGTCCAAACAGCATTGGGATTACCGGGCAACTCGGAAACGGCCATTTCGGACACCTCCAAACCATGTCGCAGAACGCGCAGCGTAGACCGAGGTCCCCGACCGCACAGCACATACAACTGGGGCGTATCCTCATTGGCCAGATCCGCCACCTGACTGGTAATGATGGGCGCAAACGATGGTATTTCATCGACCAACACAAGATTCTTCAGAGCACGCGGGGCAAAGAAGAAGGTCTCACCCTCCTCCAGAGGCATGGCCGAACTGAATTCGGGTTCGTCATCATCATCGCCCAGGTGAGCAATTTGATAAAGGTAGCTAAAGGGGGTACAAAATATCAATTTAGAAAAATGTAATTAAAATATCGGTATAAAATGCAATACTTACTGGTTACCAAACTCGCTGGCCACAAACAGAAAACCCGTCTTCAGCACACACATGGCAGTTGCTGGAGGCACTGTATCAAAGTATTTGAGCTTGATTTCCGACACCACATCATCGTCAGTTTCCAAAGTGATCTTGAAAATGTCTCCCTGCTCGGTTTGCAGTAAAAAGAAGTACATGCTCTTCGTACGATGCGTGGCGGAGCAAATGAAGATCATCCCCCTCTCGGGATCATCCAGATCGTTTCTCCTACGCGGAATGGGACAACGAATGTCATGCTGATCGCCAAGATTCTTGTAAGTCAGATAGTTCTCGGAGCAAATCAGCACACCCGAGGGTCCATCGTTGCCACCGGGCACAGAAACCAAGAAGTTGGCATGCTCCTCCAAGGGTTCCGAGTATTTGCGAACCACATGGTTCAGGCCCAGATCCAGCTCGTAAAAGGTGAGAGTTTGCTGTGTGCGCTGAGCGGCATCACCTGGAAGAGAGAAAATAAGAAATTGTTAGTTGTATTTCTTGATTCTAAAGAAATTATTTAATGATAAGGTAAGCAAGCACTTCATTTATCTTCGTTTGAATATTTTGCATTATTTCAATAATAACTCTAAAAAAATGAGTATATTTACAGTCTCAAGTGTGCATCACAAATCAGTGAAGTGTGGCTAGGCTAATTACAGCAACACCAATGGTTCAGTGATCACAATTTATCTGGCACTAAGTACAAAACAGTGTTCGTGGTAGAAAAATCCACTAAACCTGTGAATTAAAGCGCCTTCTTTCGGGGGATTTATATATTCCAGTAAATGTCTTACCCGATGGATCCAAATCAGCCTCCTCGTAGTCAATCTCCAGACAGGCAAACATGGGATTATCAAAGCCCACATCCACTCCCACCATGTGATATGTCAGGGTATTGGATTTGTGTGCCTCCAAAGGAGACGAGATCGTCAGGCGAGCCTGGGTATCACGATTCATGATGTATGCCAACTTTTGCTTCTCCACGGCACCAATCATCACAGCTCTGCCTTTGGGATCAATGGCAAAGTACTGACCGGGGACAATGCGACGGCAGCCAGACTTGCCAAAGGTCTCCTGGTGCACTTTCTCCAGAGCATTCTTCGAGGGTATGTACTCGAGGATCACAATGCGGCCGGAATCGGAACCCACAACGATGTAATCTGTAATAAAGACAGAATATTTCAATTAAAAATTAATTTTAAGAAATTAATTAAATTCTAAAATTTAATTTTTAACTAGGTTTTGTCTTGTAACTCGAAGTTTCAATTCGCCATTCCGTTTATTTGGGTTTATGGCAAATGCGACGCCAAGTCTTTGGGTTATTCTCGCACGTAGACATGTTTTAAGGTCTTACTGGGGTCAACTAGGACAAGTTGCCTCAATAGGGATTTGTGCGGCTCTGGATTGTATTAAATTTTACTTAAAATAATGTTATTTAGTTAAAGGAAACTATTTTTAGGTAAAGGTACACCCACGTGGAACATCCGCCATTTTGTTTTCTAGGTTTCTATATCTAGAATTTTTCTTTTCTCACTAAACTGAACTCACCTTTGGTGCCTCCTGTGAGACGAAAGGCCATCAAGGCGCGAATGCAGCCAAAGATCTCCGTGGACATCAGCGTGTGCACCTTGCCCGTATTCGAGTCTGGCCTTAGGAGCTCCAGCGATTTGCCACGCGAGAGGAGCACCTCCTGCTGCTTGCCGCCGGAGAAGTTGCCGTGGACCGCATGGGTCACGCCGGTGCCCTTCTGCAGGGTCAAGTTGTACAGATACATGATGCTTTGGCAGCTCTATACGCGTTCACTTTTTCCAAAACTGCAAGGGAGTAGAAGTGAGGTTAGGTACAGTCGCCGGAAAAATGCTCTTAAATAACCAGTAAATACTCATTAAATTCAAGTTATTTTGTACTACTTTGAAAACCATGGCCACAGTAGGGGTAGTCGTGTCGCCTAACGATGCTAGTAAGCAGCATTTAATTGTTATTTTAGCACGTTACAATTGCGACCAAAGCACAGACATTTCTGATTTCTGGAGATACATCGTGCAGAGCGAAAAACGCCGAAATAACGTTAAATAATGATTAAATACGTTGCGGGGGTTTACCTTCTACTGGTTTAATAAGTGACTTGGCACTTCTCACCAGCGATGCCTTTAAATTTTCTTGATTACTCAGCCGGCTTCATTTTTTCACATCCGTCGTGGTTGCCGAAAAAAAAGTGAAAGAAAAATTGTACTGAGCAGAGGGTAGTGTTGGCCAACCATCGCATGACTGTGCTATCGATGTTTTCAGATGTTTTTTGTTTTCGATGTTTTTAACAATTAAATAAATTTCGTACTTTTAAATATAAAAATAATGAATTATCACACCAAATAATTTTTAATTTTTTTGTTACAAATATTTTTGTTATTATTTATATGATTTTTTACCATGTTTAATATTAAAATATCAAAATTTTTTAAATTTAATAAGTTGAATATAAATAGCTAACAATTATATAAATAATGAAGTAGTGCAGAATAAAAAATTCCTGAAATATATAAATAAAAATTAATAAATAAAAAATGTTCAACTTTAACTTTTCCATCAGATTACATACGTATAGAACTTTTTAGATTGAATCGATTTGGAAAATTTTATAATTTTTTAACTGAAGATATATATATTTATTTATTATTATTACTACCACCTCTAGTTTATGTCCCACTTCTAGTTCAATCGATGGCTGGCTGAAATTTCAAATATCGATTGTGAGACTATCGATACCTGTCAAAACAGCTGACAGGGAAAAACAACAATTTCGTGCGCTTTGTAAATATTACAAATTTAGCAAAAATGGATGAAGAATGGATGGATGAAAAAGCGATTCAAGAAAAGCTTTACGACGAAGCGCAGAAGAAAGTCAAGTTGGGGGAAGAACTCAAACAAGCGCTGGTGGACTTTGAAGACATTCCAGGCGTAACGAAAGTGCAGCGAAAGATTCAACAGGAACTGAAATTTCTAAATAAGGTTCGTACTCAGATTCCTTCTAGAAGAATCTACTAAAACCCTGCTTATATTCCAGGTGATTGCCACAAAGTCTGTGAAAGAGCACCACATTACCAGCAGCAACTTTGTTTACTACGATTTCCTGATAAAAACCCTGCGCTTGCAACAAGGAGTGGTGGACATCAATGCCGTATTTCGCCTGGAATCCCGGGATAGTCCCTTGCGAGTGGACATTGTGGCCAACAATGGTCTGAAGTGGGTGAAGGTTATAGCCAGAAATTCAAAATCCGTGGAGGACGCGGCCAGGGGATGTGTGAGCATTGGAGCGAGGAGCGTCATAGATCAGGCAGAGGATTATCTGGAGGCCAGTTCCCTACACTTTTGCATGTTCCAGAGGCCTAAGGTGAGTTTACAATGGGTTGAAGCCTAAAATGTCGCTGATTAAATTCCCTTACAGATTGTCTTTTACTTTTCCAATAAAATCGAAGATTCCCTGCATGAGGAACTCATAGAGATGGGCGTCCAGACAGCTTCCCTGGACTCTCCTGACCCCGACTTGGATCAATATGCCACCACATCGAATGAATTAAACTTGGATGTGACCACTCTTCTGGCCTATGTGAGTGCCCTGACCAATGGCTCAGCCAATTGGGTGTACAAGGAACCGCTGCTCACCGAACAGGCAGAGCGGGAAAGGGCTTCCCCTCTGAAGCCTCTTCTAGAGAAAATCCTTGAGGGAAAAACTCTGGTGTGCTGCCAATTAGCCTACGATGCCTTCCAAAGTATCCTGGACATTGTGGGAGGCGAGGGTGAACGAAAGCGGGCGAAGGAGCTGATGGAACGGGTGACCGTTTACCCGGATGTGGAAAGTATACCCGAGGAACTGTCCCACATCCGCTTCACTGCCAATGTGAACGAGCGAAGTCTGAAGATTTTTAGTTTTGGCATGGCCAGACAAATTTTTACAGTGACTTCAAACAAGGCTTTTGTTAGATCAGCCAAGATGCAGGTAATGTTTCTGAAATTATACAAATTATACTTAAAAATAATATAATATATTTACTATTTTACAGGGCATCAATGTGCCGGTTTTTGTACACGCTTCCGTAGCTCTTACCGAGGGTAAGCAGGCCACCGGCAGACCTCTTTAAACAAGACAATAATTGTTATTTATTTAAATTTACCTAATGTAATGAATATCATATATCGATAGGCCAATCTATCGATATTTTTAGCAACAGAGTTGTCACCACGTTCGCAGAACATACATATATAAACAAGAGAGAAAATTAGGGAAATTGCGACTTTTGTAAAATAAATATATATTTTCGGCTTGAAAACACAAAAACAACACAATTAAAACCTGGATTTTAATATATTTAACTAGCTGGAACATTGTTCAACTTAAGTATTCACAGTTAAAATAAAATCACAGGCACAAAACAGTAGAAAACATGGACTGCGCTCCCCTTAATTTGGTAAGAAAGTGTGTGGTTCTGGTTGAAAAAATGTAAACAATATAATTGAATGCAGGCCCACTTCCACGAGCGACGATCAGAGCGTTTTATACGCAATCATCGCTACGAGGAGGCCATCAAGGCGCTGGAAACCTCCTTAATTTACATGCAGGATGCCCAAAAGAGGGTTTCGTTGCCCAAATCCAAGGAGGTTCTGGACACCCTCACACTGGATTTTCAAAGGAAACTGCGACAAATTGAGATGCGGAAAACTCAGCATGGCTTAAATAAACTAAAGGACTTTGCTCCTTTAAAGGAAACCAGTCCCATGTTGCCGCTCCGACCGGAGAACAGCAGTAGTGGCGGCGCCAGCAGCGGAGGAGCCTTGGGCTCTGCTCAATCCGTTGCCAAGGCAATTGACAAAACAGTGCAGGATTTTGATGCCAAGTTCACCTCCACCCTGGTGACAAAGGCCACCTTGGCAAGTTCGGAACCTCAAATGGAGACGCTTAAGAAGAGCGAAGATCCTGCGGCGGAGGGTGACGAGGTAGATCCCCACGAGCATCGCCTGACTGGGAGCGGTGACCTGGACCTGCCTTCGCTGGCTCCCCTGGAGTTGCCCTCTTTCGATTATACCTTGTTTACTAGTTCCTCCGCTCCCTCGTTGGCTAGTTATGCCGGGATGGCTGAGAGCTTCCAGAAGTAGTTTAAAATTTAATATTTCCTGTCCTTCATTTTTGATTTTTTTTTTTTTAAATTACTATCTAAATTGTTCGGTAAAAGAGACTGTTGTATTAACTTAACAAATAAATATTATTATTCCTGTAATTTTAAGTCATATGTTCACCCATATTCATTAAATATACCTTTTAAATATTTGTACTATAATCTATGTCATTTTATTTGGCCATCAGACCCTTTAGTAGATCGTCCATGTCCGTTTCGGTTTCAACGTTTTTGAGTAACAGCAACACCTGGGCCTCCATTTCGCAAAGAATGGCTGGCTTTTGGTAGGTTATAATTAAGGTATTGAACTGATGATGGACAGTGAGATTTGCCTGAGACGGGGCTACGCCACAGCGATCCAGATCGGGTATGGGAATCACCTTGTAGTACTTCTTGTTCGTGGTGCGCACTATTATGGCCCGCTGCTCGGCATTTGCAGTTACATTGTAAATTTCTAGGGGATATGGCATGTTGCGGATGCGCCACTCAATGTTCTTCTTGGTCACCCTCTTGGTTAGCAGCGGCGCTGTGTTGCTCTCCCGCAGAGTGAATTCTGGACCAGCAAGAGAATCTGCATCGCCGGCGCCGTTTGCTCCTCCTCCTGCGCCGTTAGACTGATTCGCCGACCAGTTGAGCTGACGCGGTTCCTCGCCCAGTTCGATTTCCCACTCCGGCTGGCCCATCAGCTGCTTGCACTTCCTCCAGGCCCGGCGCTGAACGATCCCAGTGTCCAGGTTATACTCCTCGGCCATTTGACGACCGTCCGGAAACTTGTACAGCACCTTGCGCAGGCGGCCGCTGATCATCGAGTTCTTCTCCGCCGACTGCAGGTAGTTCAGCCAGTTCTGGTAGGACATCTTGGCCTCGGGGAGTTAATATATATCCCGAATCGAAAATAGGAACTGGTGCTGGGGAGCAAAATTTGATCGATGGCGCAAAGTTGGAGAACTGTTGAAAAGCACATTGCGTTGGCAACCTGGCAACCCGGCTGTCAGTTTGTTTACAATCAGAAAACAGGGTTGTCAAGGCGTTCATATATTAATATTTTATGTCAATTAAAAATTATTTATATAAAACAATATTTACTTTATATTCAATTAAAAAACTCATACTTATCTTGAAGAAAATCTATTTTTCAAAACAAAATTATTTCTAAATCAATTCAAATAATTATTATTAAATATATATTAAATACATATAGTATTCTATATTTAGACCATAAAATTATTATTTTTATAATTTTTTTATTAGCACATTAAATTTAATGGCATTTAATTTTTTACCGCTAAATCTAGCTATTTTCTGGCTGCCATTTCCAATCAAGTTGGCAGCCCCGTTTGTACACAAATAAAAACAGAGTTGACGTGGCCGCCGCAGTGACTACATAAAATATTCGCATATTTCATCACTGGCTGCGTTTTAATTATTGCTATTTAAAGTAAGCAGCGGCACGTACTCCGCACAACGTTTATAAATAGCCGCCGGACACACAGCGCACGGATTTTAAGCTAATTTCGGAACATTTTCCTTGCAGACACGCGCCGACGAAGAAAAATCGAAATCAAACGAAAAAAACGAATATAAAACAAAAAGGAATTAAACATGAGTTTGGTGTGGACTTTGATCGCCGGCTTTCTCTACGCAGAGATTGCCCTGGTTCTTCTGCTGGTCCTGCCCGTGGCGAGTCCTTACCGATGGAACCGCCTCTTCAAGTCCAAATTTTTGGCAATGTTAGCCCAGCAGGCGCACATATACTTCTTCCTGATCATGGGAGTCCTTGTGCTGTTCCTGCTGGAGGCCATCCGTGAAATGCGCAAGTACTCCAACTATGAGCAGTCCGGCGAGGTTCACCTGAACGTGGAGATGCAGCACAGCATGCGTCTATTCCGTGCTCAGCGCAACTTCTACATCTCTGGCTTTGCCATCTTCCTGGTTTTGGTCATCCGTCGTCTTGTTACACTCGTTTCGGCCCAGGCCAATCTGTTGGCCCAGAGCGAGGCCTCCATGAAGCAGGCCCAGAGTGCCACCGCCGCCGCCCGTTCCCTGATGGAGGACAAGAAGACCGAGAAGGCCAAGGAGGCTGGCGAGGACACCACTCTGAATGAGGTAAGTTTAGAAAGAGCAACCTCCCCGCATCCGACCGGCAGGAATGGCATGTTGTTTAGAGAGCTAACACCTAAGACTTTTGAGTTACATTGGCTACTTATCGCTGTAAAGAAAAGGCAATGCATACAAAGAAAGGTGTGGCTAAGAAAATAGTCAAAAAAGTAAGCTTTTTAAGAGAGACCTACTATTCTTTTAACCACACCTGGAACCGTTTCAAACCACACCCAAAAAAACACAAATGTTTGGGCTTTGAAACGCAGCCACTCGAAAGTATAAAAACCTCTTGTGTTAACTCTTTGAAACAGCTGTCAAGCCTGCGGAGACGTGTGCGAGGACTCACCGCTCGAGTGTCCCAAGTATCCCTTGACCGACTCATAAACGATATACCCAACATAAACGAACATCCAAAAAGATACACAATCGAAACTCAACCCGAACACTCGTTTTACAGCTCACCAAGCTGCGCGAACGCGTCCAGCAGCTCACCGCGGATCTCAACCGCGAAAAGAAGGACAAGGAGGCCGTCAAGTCCCAGGCAGAGAGCCTCAATCGCGAGTACGATCGCTTGACCGAGGAGTACAGCAAGCTGCAGAAGCAGATAACCATTGGCGGAGCTGGCAAGAGCTCAGGAAACAAGGATGATTAAGCGTTTGGAGCGAGTCCAACATTTAAATAACGATAAGACTTATACATGGCGGTGGGGCAGCGAAAGCAGGCACATTTAAAAAGATTATAAACGATTTGAAATCGATGAAAAGCACCTACACATCTTAATGTTAAACCCTCATAAACATACTCTCATTTGATAACAGAAAGGTCTATTGATAGTAGTTACCAGTTGTCGTCTTTCGCCTAAAATTCTTTTGTATTTTGTATTTAAATTGTATGTGTTAAGTTTTGTTTGCCACAGTAAAACACACACAGACACTAGGAGCGTCTTGGCTATTAAAAGAACAACCATAAAGTACTCCTCCAGTTTCGATCGATCGATGATGATTCATCTTTAGCGGCTGATAGTCCACATCATGGGTCTGAGATGGGTATCAGCTTGTTTGTTCCATGGAATGACGTCAGAGGGCGACCTGTTTGTCCAGCTGTCGGTCAATGTTCGCAGCGAAAATCGGAAGTATAGTAACTGTAGGGGGTTTTTAGTAGATTGCATTATAACATACAACTATTGCACATTCTTTCTGGGTGTCTTGAAATGCCATGAAATGTCCAAAAATAACACAATGATAATGAAATTTCCACAAACACAAAGAAATCTCTATGATAGCAAGCATATATACGTAGCATTTCCTATGTGTTTTATAGAACTTGTTTGCTGTGTGAGCTTTTGATTTAGCAATAAGCAATTTTTGAAGCAAATTATGAGACGGAACACTTTTCATTGTTGATTTTAAGTCTAAAAGTTTGCAAATACTCAAGTTAATAGTGGTTAATTATTTTTACTAGAAAAAAAAAACAAACAAACACTTCTAAGTGATAAAAAATGAAAGCAAAAGAAGATGAGTAATGCCACACGACAGATAGTACAAAACTCTTTCTCATTTATTAAAATTACTCCCACCAGAAGCTCACAGAGAAACTAGGTGCTGCGGATCTCACATAATGCCACCATTTTGGAGGCATATACAAGCAGTCTCCAGGCTGCAAAAGTAGCTCATAGAACTTGACATTTTCCAGCAGAGGATAAGCCACCATATCCAATTTGGCAGCATCTATTTGAGAGGTATTACCCAGAAACTCGCTTTCATGGGGATACAGATTCTCCGTGTCCTTGGGAGCAGCAAGTATAATCCTCTTGGAACCAAAAACCTGGCACAACAAATTATGCTTTGGATCGTAGTGCATGGCTGAAATGGTGCCCGCTGGTCCCAGCCAGGCTTTAATATCCACAGATCCTGGCGGATCATCTTTGCTAATGCTACAGTAATCCGGAATGGATATATCGCTTTTCAGGGCTGGTATTTGGGAGAAGAGCTCATGCTGGGCAAGATACTCAATCTCCTGGTTAGCTTTCTTGGTACTAAACTGCCTCTCAAGAAAATCTCTGATCTTGACCAGCTGCTGGGACCACTCGTCGCTGGCGTAGTTAGAGCCAATCTCTATGGGAACAGTGCGATTTCCTGCCACTTTGAGCAGGTAATTGAGATCCAGCCACTTTTTCCTGGCGGGCCAATGCTCGATGGTGTTGAGGAGGAGTGTGGGTTGTTCAGCTTGAAAGCATTTGGTTTGGAATTCCTTCAAGTTGGGTGCATCTAGCTGAGGTATATCACAAGTGCAAGAAACCCGAAGTAAAGGCTCCAAAACGGGCAGCAGTTTTGGATTCTCCTCCTTTCCTTTATCCAGGTAATCCATTAAGGCTACTTTCAGTTCACTCCAATCCTCCATGCAGCCCAGCAACTGAGCCTCATCCAGGATCCCACTGCATACTTCCTTTTGAGCTGGGCTCGTGTCCTCCAGAAGCAGGAAAAATATCTAATAACGCAATTAATAATATATTTTTATATTTAATAAATAAATTAAGCTTCTTACCTTAAAGTAACATCCTATGGCATATATCTTCCTTATATTCAATGAAACACTGCTAAAATGCCCTGTGTGTATGCGTTCCCAGTTTCTGTCCACTAGAGCACATATAAGGTATCTTATTTCCTCCTCCTCATCCGAATCTCCGCCAGAAATTCCAGTCTGCAGCTTTTCCATGTGACTTGTGGCTTTTTTGAGTATAAAGCGAGCCTCAAGTTCATCCTGGAGTAGATTTTCTATGTCCACCCAACGTGGAAGCAGTTTTGTCAACTCTAGAAGCGGTAAGTCCATTAAATATTTATTAATTAAAATTGTTTACTATTTTGTTTACATTGCGGTGGTGCTTTTATAGGGCTGCCAGACGGGTAAAAAAGCTTTTTATTTAAAATATCGATAAGCACTAAATAAAACTTATAACGAAGTTTATTTAAAAATGTTTATTTATTTAAAATATTTATTTAATTAAAGTTTTATTTCAAAATTCAGAAAAAAAATAGTTGTGTCCCAATAAAATGTTAACTAAAAAAATGTATTAAATGTATTTAGGAAGGTATTTTTTATTTTTATTATATGTATTTATATACATTTTTATTTATAAATATACCCTTTCTTTAGTATACTAGTTATTAAGGGTTAAAAAATTCGCTGCTTATCTCTGGTTATTTATTGAGAATTGATTGATATTGCGATTGAAGTGAGGTCGGGGAAGCCTAGATAATACATCGGCTATCTATAAATCTACGTTATCAATACCTCTTTAAAATTACATACTTCCTAGTAGCATTATCAGGGGTAATATTATTTGTAACCTTGGTTATTTTGATATTTTATAGATGACAAATTTATTTAAATTCAGTTTAAGGATCGTATATACAAAATTCAGACATTAAGAATTAAATAGAATAAATTCCCTAAAATTTAAAAATAAAAAAGATTAAAACAATAAATACATGTATTTTACAGATTATTTTATACTACAAACGACTATCTTTTACTAAGCGTTCCAGACATCCAAAAAGCTTTTGTTAAATTTGAATGAAAGTAGAACTGGATTGATCGTAGATCCTCTCTGAGGGCTTTGAGCAGCAGTCCCAGTACCTGAGAGCAACTCATCGGGTCTGGTTCTGGACAGGTGACGACGGAATAATTTATAAAGCTTGTGTTTGGCGTATGTTTACGTTGATAAACAGCCTGCGCATATGTACGAGTTAACCCCAAGCCCAATATAGCTTTAATATTTGCTTTTTGGCAACGATCAGGTGTGGTGTACTGCCTCCTAATACAATAACGATTTAATTTAAATTTAATGTTACTCAAACTAATTAGATGCTGCAGACTAAAAGTGAAAAGTGTCTGTCCGGAAAGGCAATTTATGGTAAAGATTGTGGGTGGAGCAGGAAAAGCATTAGCTTGGATAATTAATAATAGACAAGTGGAAAAAATTACTATAAATGAATGAACAAGACATGTATAATATATAATATATGATCTACATCGAACGAATTTTTAAAAATTAACTTAGATACAAATTGTGGCATCAGTTACAATTATTTTAAAATTATTATTTAAAAATTAACTAAGACTGATTAAGTGAACTTAAAAATATTGGGAAAATCAAGGTATCTGTTACAATTATTTGATATAAGAAATTCCATTTTATTTACAACTTTTTAGGTAAAACTGTTATATATAATTCTTAACCCCTGAAATCTTTATAATCTTCACAATAAGTGTGTCCCCGTATATTTACAAACAGCCAAACCCTAATTAAGCAAGAGATCTTTATAAAACCGGTACTTGAGGTTCAATTGCTCGTATTCTGGGCTTTCCTCGGCGTTTGCGTATCAGGTTGCTGCTGCTTATCAGTCCGCCGCCGACGCTCGACGACTCCGGTTTCGGTTTTTTGCATTCCCGCGATTTTTTATTGAGTAAATAACATTTATTTGACCGCCAAGGTGATTCGAAGAGGCGTCTGTGGCGGCAGCAATATGTCCAAGGCATCCCATCCTTACTTTGTGGGCGTTGATGTGGGCACGGGCAGTGCGAGAGCGGCCCTGGTGGCATCCGATGGGCGGGTCCTGGAGCAGGCAGTGCAGGAGATCCAAACATGGACACCGGAACCGCATTACTACGAGCAATCCTCGGAAGATATTTGGCGAGCCATCTGTCAGGTTGTGAAGGTAAGTCTTCATTGGAAATTAAACAATTTAAGGATTATTTGAGGCTCACAAATGATCCTATATTTTTTTTCCTGTGCCTTGATAACCTCTGTCGTTCGACGATGTTTCTCGTAGAGATTAGATTAACCCACAGTCTGTCCCATTTTACAGCATGTCATTGCCGGCGTCAATAAGTCACAAGTCAAGGGCATTGGCTTCGATGCCACTTGCTCCCTGGTGGTTCTGGGCCCCCAAGGAGCTCCCCTGACGGTGAGCAAGTCTGGCGAGGCGGAGAGGAATATAATCCTCTGGATGGATCATCGAGCTGAGGAGGAGACGGCCAAGATAAACGCCACCAAGCATCCGCTCTTAAAATACGTCGGTGGTCAGGTTTCGCTGGAGATGGAGGTTCCAAAACTGCTGTGGCTCAAAAGGAACCTCTCCAAGACCTTCACCAATATTTGGCGGGTATTTGATCTGCCGGACTTTCTTACCTGGCGGGCCACCGATGTGGATACCCGATCGCTCTGCTCCGTGGTCTGCAAATGGAACTACGATGCAGCGAATAATAGTTGGAACAAGGAGTTCCTCAAGCAGGCGGACCTGGAGGAGTTGACGCTGAAGAACTTCGAGAAGCTGGGCAGCGATGTCCAGCCGCCGGGCAGAAAAGTGGGCAAGGGTTTGTCCGCTAAGGCTGCCGCGGAATTGGGCCTTGCGCCGGGTACTGTGGTGAGCACATCTCTGATTGATGCCCATGCAGGCGCCCTGGGCATGTTTGGTTGTCGGGCCAAGGGCTCCCAGGATGAAAAGGATGATGTACAGGGTAAGATGGCACTGATAGCTGGCACTTCCACCTGTCACATGAGCATCACGCGGGATGCTTGCTTTGCCCAGGGCGTGTGGGGTCCCTATCAGGATGCCATTATACCCGGTTACTACCTGAACGAGGGAGGTCAGAGCATTGCAGGACATCTCCTAGATCATGTTCTCAAAACCCATGAAGCCTACGCTGAACTCAAGACCAAACTGGGAGCAGATAAGTAAGTAAACTGGATTTAAATTTACTTAATTACTTATTTTGTATTTTTTTAAAGGAATATTTATCAGCATCTCAACAATTTACTGCCAGAACTGGCCGCTGCCCGGGGCATCAGTGAGGTTAGCTGTCTCACCCAGGATGTCCATGTCTGGCCGGATTTGCATGGAAATCGTTCGCCCATTGCTGATCCCACGCTTCGAGGAATTGTGGGTTTGCTTGCCTTACATTCTCAAAGATTTTTATATGAATAATCTTATTTCCTAGATCACTGGCCTGGATATGACGCGAGGAATTGAATCTCTGGCCATTAAATACTTGTCCTTTGTGCAAGCCTTAGCTGTGGGTTCTTTTTTTGTTTATTTATCTTATTTATTTATTAATAATCTTTGTTTTTTTTAGTACGGAACTCGTCATATTATAGAGAATTTGTATCAGCACAAGCGGGCTCCCTTCCAGACTCTCCTCTTCTGTGGCGGACTGGCCAAGAATCCCTTGTATGTTCAGTGCCATGCCGATATTTGCAATCTGCCTGCCTTGATACCCGATGAACAGGAAATGGTCCTAGTGGGTGCAGCTGCCTTGGGTGCCGCTGCCTCTGGACATTTCAACAGCTTAGAGGTGAGCTCAATTACAAAAATTCGATGATTTATTGATAAAACAACCTATTCTTGTGCCTTCTATAGAGTGCCTCCAAGGCCATGGGTGGTAGTGGCCAGCTTCTGAAGCCAAACCCAAAAACCCTGGAATTTCACAATCGGAAATACAAGGTGTTTTTAAAGCTTCTAGAGAACCAACGCCAATACCGGCTCATTATGCAGGGAGAACAACTTTAAAAGTTAGTTAGGACTTTCACTTTAAATAATTTGATTTAAATAAATGCCGTACACGAGAGCATTGTAAACAAAAAATAAAAGACTTGGCGGCGCTCAGGTACAAACGGTGATCTTGTGCTCGTCTCGGGGATTATTCTTTAGGCAATGAAGGCAGCCGATTTGGAGTTGATTTTTCCACGACACACGGGACAGCTAATGGAGATTTTCTGGGAGCAGTCTTCGCAGAGACAGACATGACCACAGGGAAGGAGAATGATCTGTGGAGAAAGAATATAGTCTTAACTAAAATTAAATAAAATATTATTAAATAAGAAGCCTCACCTCCTTTGGATTGGTGGAGCACACAACACACAGCTGATCCTGGGACAGGGTATGAGGACGACTTCTCGCACGTCGTTCGCGGCGCTCTGTGTCCAAGCGATCCCGAATCTTGGCTTCTTCTTGCTCCTGTTTCCTTCGCCTATATACCTTCTTCAGGATGAAGGCCACTAGGACCACAGAAATGGTGCTGCACACAAGGATCTTGAGTCTGGAAAAAATACTTCGATAAAGTAAATACTTAAGAAGAATATGTAGAGCTACACTCACAATGTGGTACCCTTGGCATCTTCAAATCGCTTGATCAGCGTCGACTTGGTGGCGGTGGTTAGGAAGAGTGGACCTTCCTTGGAGGGCTGCATGCGCAGGGTCTTGCCATCGGAGGTCAGTTCACCGATGGCCGTGATAAAGCTGCCATCCCGAAGGACCTCCTCCGTTGTTTGCAGTCCCCTCTGGCGAATGCCGCTGAAGAAACCAAAGACATGATCGACCAGGGACAAGTTGGAGGGTTCATAGTTGTCATAGACCATGTCCACATCGAGAACACCCGCACTCATGGCGTCCACAATCTCCACGCCGTACTGCTGATTGCGTAACTCGAATGGCATCTCGTTGGCCGTCTTATGGAGCAGCTTGCTGTGCTCCGTCCAGAAGCCGGCAAAGCCACGGGTGATCCGGTGCTCGTGCAGCTTGACAATCTGCAAGACACCGCTTACACTGGGCACCAAGGCACTCCTTAGAGGCACCCCAATGGGTGTCACTGTGCCCCGGATTACCGCATAGGGGATCTTCTTCTCGTGCTGCCGCTCCACCAATGATTTCAGATTATCATCGATGTTGTATTGCGGTGCCGTCTGCCAAAAGGTAGCAAGAAAATAAATAAAACGCAAGAACAAATATCAAGTATACGCACCTTTAGCAGCTGGGCAGTGCGCTTGTAGTGGACATATTCCCGGGCGCACAGGCCCAGTATCACCAGGTCCACGCCGAGCGCAATAGCTTCGTGGAAGAAGTCCATATTTCCTATTTTATCTAACTAAAATATTCAAAACATATGTTTATTTGCAGTGTTGCTGTGTTTTTCGTACGTTTCGAGGCGGTGTGGCATCTCTGTTTTCGAAATTCACCGCCTAGTGAGTTTGTAAAATAATTAAGAAAAAACAAGATTTATTATTAAAAATCTTGGGAAATTGGTATTCCTGAAAAATAATAGTTAAGAAAAGTCTGAGGTATATTCTGTTGAATATAAGAATTTATTTATTGCTTTTTTTGTCCGCTTAATTATGGTCTTTAAGTGTGGCTGTGTTTTTATTTTCTGAATGCCAAAATTTCAAGACATGTGGCAGCTCTGTTTTTAAAATGTACCGCTAAAATTAATAGGTAACACATATAAAATTGGGAAAATGAAGCTTTATAAATTATAGATTTATATAGTAACTACAGATATGTATATGTATATATTACTATATCTATATAATATTATATAATCTTTAATTTATAACTTTATAAACTGATTTATTTAATTTAAAAATCCTTCGGCATGTGTTACTTTAATCACTTTTTGTATTTAAAACAAAATCATTTATAAATCAATTTCTTATACAAATATTCTAATAATTTACATTTCTTTTATGGCTTTCCAATGATGTTGTCGATGGTAAACAGAGTAGTCTTTGAACGATTGCTTGGCGCCGTGGGCGATGTTGCTGGACTGCTGCCCGCTGATTCAACCATTAAATCCTGGAGTCCACGAAAGGAGGAACCAAGAATTGGAAGACCCAAGGAAGAGACGGCTTCTTTTCGACGATTCAGGGCAGGTGTAAAGGCACTTGGGGAATGTAACTCTTCGTGAAGAGAGGCACTATCCAGAGGCAGTTGAGTTGTTTTACTGGAACTGGAGGAGGGACTATCCACCGAGGCATCGGCATCATCTACAGACTCCCGAATCTCGGGAAGAGTAGTTCCTGACAGTGGCCGCATACCCCTGGCTTCGTTATTGAATAAACTGTTGAATCCGAGAGATACGGACAGATACTGTCGGTGGAGATCCGTGATCCTATCTGAATAATTGGGTCTCTCGTTGCAGAAGATGTCAAAGTCGTTTAGGGAATCGTTGGGTGAACGAATTTCTCCTGTTCTTTCACTGTGGTCGGTGGAGTCCTGGAGGTGAAATGATGTATTGTATATATTCTGAATTTGTAAATATTTTTCCACATTTCTTACCTTGCCGGCTTCCCTTTCATAGCGATTCGAGTTGCCGCAGTGCCTTTGCCTTCGAGTTCTCCGCCGTCGGTAATTTCCTTGCTCAAACATATCCGATGCCGAGGAATCTAGCATCCAGTAGCTGCCCTTTCCAGCGCTATCATTATCCTCAATGGTGTTCTTATCCCTTGGAACCTTCACGAAGCAATCGTTCAGGGAGAGATTGTGTCGGATGGAATTCTGCCAGCCCTGCTTGTTTTCGCGATAATAAGGGAATCTGAAAAAGGAAAATCGGGGGTTAAAAAATATAAATTAAATAGATATATAACAAAATATTCCTGCAAACATTTTAATATTATTCAAGCCATGGAATTCGTAAACAATATCTTTTGTAAAACATAAATAAAACAAACAACTATAAAAACCGAACGCCTGCACAGCTATTTTCTATTTACAATTTACACATTTTTATTATATTTATAACACCAAAACAATATATACTATTTCTGAATAAATAAAATTTTTGTTTCAATACAAAACATTCCTTCCTTCTTTCAGTTTACAAAAATGTTTCTTATTGGCCAATATCTATATTCGCCATTTAGTTTGTTTAAAACATACGATTTGGTTAGCCAATAAAACTAATATTTGTTTATGTTGATAAAGAAATCGGAAATATCTAGTTTATAAACATATGAAGTCATTGTTCTCATTTTTATATATACCCAAATTCCTTGAAATGATAATTATGGCTACGAAATCGCCATCTTTGCCTACATTCGCCCGCCTTTTTCTTAAAAATTATGTTTATATAGGAAAAAGAATACATATAAAGCATATATAATATTCGTTAATATATGAGTTTAAATATTTTTAAATTATGGCCAAAAAATGAACCAGCTGTGGTATTTGTTTAAATTAAAAAAAAATATCATAGCAATGTCCTATCCACATGATATTTATACAACAGAAAATCAAATAACTTTCAATATTTCACCGATTTAATCCCAGACTTGACGACAACTGTTTTGAAATGCGTCTCAGGATAAAAGTTCCTCAATTTATATAGATATTCGGAATGCCAAGATTGTTTATTTTGGCATTTGGTTTAGTCAAGATTGTCATTTAAATTGTGCTGGACTTTCGTCATAGAAGAACATAAAATGGTGCTTGGATTAAATAAAGATATATTTAGGAAACTAGAAGAAACAAAATATATGTGGTCAGAAAAAAAGGTCTTTAAATAATTAAATATTAATCCCAAGTTTAAATGTTATAATAAGAGCTATATAATATTTTAATATAGTTCTTCGGCGTTCTGTTTATAATTAATATTTTAATTTTTAAATATTTATAATTATTTTCTTACTTATCCATAATAAACTTGTAGATTCCACTGAGAGTCAGCCGCTGATTGGGAGCACTGCTTATAGCCATGGCTATAAGGGCGATGTACGAAAACGGCGGCTTTTCCGGTCGATGAGAGTTATGGAGGAAGGATATGGGCAAACCCCAGATATTATTGTGCAGGGCCAAAAAGTTATCGATTCCCTGATAGTAGAAAGCCGGCGAAAAGGATCCGCACATCAGACCCTCCATGCCCACGCCACCGACGGCACTTGGTGCCATCGGATTTGGGGATATTTGGGCTCTTAGATATTCGGGATTTGCAAGGATGGAGTTTACCAGATCCTCGTTATCCGGGATTGCAGAACCATTGGCATAGCACGAGGGCAACATTTTTTGAGATATATCCTTTGAATTTATTTATTTTAAATATATCCTCCAATTTGTTATATTTTCTTGTCACTTTTTTGTATCTTAAAGATATTTCAAATCGTTTTTAACTTCACTTTACTTTGGTTCGATTTTACAGGATCTTTGTCTTGGATTTTTTAAGAGATATTTTATCCCGATTTTATGCGCCCGTGTGTTACTATACGTTGCGTCAGCCAAGAAGTCCGATCGACTAATGAATGGACTCGGATACGCAGATCACTTGTAATGCCTCTGAAAATTACTCATGTGTGTGTTTTTTTGTGGGGAGAGCAGCGTATTGGTCTATAAATACGGAGAAATACAAACACAGACGCAGAAAGATCCACACATGTTTGAGATTTCAGGGAGAGAGCCAATAATCTGGAATATACTCAGCAGTTAGGATTGGTTATATTTTAAAGATATATTTTAAAACAATTTATTAAAAAGTAAACTCTATATTATTACTCGTAATTAGAGTAATAGATTTGATATACATTTTTTTTAATCTTTTTAGTTTTATAATTTATTTTAAATATATTTTTATAATAACTTTTATCACCTCTTATTAATTTTCCTCCCTTATAATAATATTTTCCCTGTTTTTCCCGCTTAATAGCTGATCACTGGAGCCAGTTCTCTTGAGGGGGCGTTGCTCACCATAATATATCCCCCACTTTTTCCATGTTTATTTGTATTCTCCAGAGCTTGCAAAAAACTGTCGACCGTTTCTAGTTGTCTGCATATATCTGTCTCTCTCTCACTCTTTACGAAAAGACTCAGAGAGCACCCGTTCATGAGTTCTTGGAATGAGCTCGCGCGCGTTCAGAGCAAACTCGTTTTTTTTTATTCTGCTTTGTTTCGGTTGTCCCATGAACCGTGGTCAGTGAACAAAAGTCTTTTGCGAATGTATTGGAATACATTCAGACGCATAGGCAAGCAAATCCTTAAACGTTTAGTTGCGATTTAAAAACAACATTGTCTAAAACTTTTCTTTTATTTTTAATAGCATTTTGTTATATGGACACTTGTTCACAAAAATAAATAAATAAAAAAAAAAAAAAACAAACAAAGGTGAAGACCGTTCGCGCTGAGCTGTTCGGTCCCTTGGTCTTTGGCTGGCTCTCTGTGTGCGAACGTTTCTCGTCCCGCTCTTTACGCACGGCTCATTGAAAGGACGAAGTAAAAAGAGTTCAACGAAAAGCGTTCAACAAAAAACCGAAATCAAGACAGCAAAACTCCCTTGCTCTGAGCGAGAGGGAGAGAGTATGATCTTTTTCGGTTTTACTCGCAACGAGAGCACAGGAAAAACCCCGTCGACAGTTATTTGCAAGCTCTGGTATTCTCACATCACAAGATTCGTTGCTCATTTGTCTGTATTTTTCCTGATGGGCGGAGCCAAGATCTCTTCTGCCAGTGTGTGTGTGGGTGAGAGTTCCCAATGTGTTTGAAATAATATGTAAATTGGATTTTTCAACAAATGAAAATCGAGCAAAGTTTACACATGAATTAGAGACACTAAAAATTGGCAATTTCAAAGGGTTTTTTTTATAGGAAAACATTGAAAAAAAAGTTATAAGAAAAGTTTGTGGAATATTGAGAAATGTGTTATTTACAAGATTTAATTATTCTTTCTAAATAAATCTAATTTAATTCTTTTATTTTATGGTTTTTACCTTTTTTATCAGCAAAATGTACAAAATATAAAATTGCTGTAATTATAAATAATTATAAGAAAATAATGTACATATTCCTGATTTGTTATTGGAAAGAGAAAACAAATATTTTTACAATAAACAGTCATGGTTTAAGCTCTCAAATGCGAAATTTAAATAAGGATTCAAAGGAAATTTCTATAAAATAAAAAAAGAAACAATTTTATATATATTGAAAACTATAAGAAAACTTTTGATAATTTCCTTTCAATTGGTTTGTAAACAATATTAAAGTAAAACATTTCCCAGAAGCACTTATTCAACTAAACACTACATATACATATACCCCGGATAACAGCTGCCCAAGATAATGCCTATCTTGGCGTAGTCCCTTGACACTGCTATCTTGTAGAATTTCCCTTCCGATTTTTACGACTTTCCAGAGAGAAAGAAAGCAAAGAGTAAATGCAGTCAAGTACGCAATTTTCCCCAAAAACGAAAGCAACACGAAAGTCTTGGTCTATATCTTAAAAGGTCGTAAAATAATTGTGTATACATTTCAAACAGGACTACGATCGATTTTTACGATCGTTTCGTTCTCAAGTAGAAAGCAGAGATCATTTGAAAGAAATAAAAACATTGCGAGCAAATACAAAATACTCGAAGTTGCAATACGATGAGATGAGGAGATATATGTTCACTCCCTCACATGTGTGGAAGATGCGGAAGATGCCACAAAGGATTCTTCACGCTCTCTCTCGCTTTATTCAAATTTTACGACTTTACGATCGCTTACCGCTGGAAAAATGGGTCATAAAACAATGGGTTATCCTATGCTCTCTCTCCATACCATATAGTATACTCTGCTGCTATATGGCCAGTTGATCCTCTGAGATGTCGCTGGGCCGTGTGTTTGGCTTGCTTATTTTTAGACCTATGCCGGGAATAGTATTGGAAACAAATATTGTTTTTTATGGCTCAGTTCTCGGCTTGTTTTCCTCGTTACGAATGTTTTTTGGTTTCAAACAATGTTTTCGTTTGGGTTCCCTTTATATTTTCTTTTTGTTTTCGGTTTTGACGGATCGCCCCAGCACTAAGCCATAAAACGCCGCCGATCTTGTTTGTTTAGTTGCCCTGCCTCCCAAACCGCATCTTAATCGGTGTCCCTAATTGCAGTTATAGTTTAGTGCGTGACTAGATCTGTTGTTGTTCCCGTTGTCATCACTTGATTTATTATGTGAGGGAATTTTGATTAAATTTTAGGAGACTTACAGGTTTAATTCGGAAATATGAGACAGAAATTAGGCAGTTGCTTTATAATATTTTGAAATAGAAGATCTTAAGGTTGATTGTTTAAAATTATTAGGAAAATTATGAATAATCAGAAGTTAAGCTCCATTATTTAAACTCAATTATACAATTATTGAATGAGCTCTGATTTTAATGTTAATTTTTAGTTAGTGAAAAATATAAAGAAAAATACAAATAGTTTACTTAAGTTCTTTAAATTCTATTAAAATAAAACCCCTTAGTTTCTCAGTCACTCCTCGAAAGAAATCCCTGTTAAAGATGTCCACCTGTACCACCACAAACTCTTAGCACACTTGAAGAAAAATATACCGACCAGTGCCAGTCGACACCTTGTCAAAATTTGATTTAATCACTCGACACTCGCTCTCGCTCAGACAGAGATCAAAGATAACAAATCATCGATCAGCCATGGATTTGTGGCCTGTGCTCAACAACAGCCCAGTGATTTGTCAAAATTCGATGGGGTGCCCAGCCCCCTCGGTGGCGGCAGCGGCACATTATTATGCTCCCATCATCGGAGGCATTAACATCTAGTAGAGCCTATTTATAGGCGCCGTAAAATGCAGCAGGAGTGTCCGGACCACGGACTATGGGACTATTATGAGCGTGCTGTTGTTTGACAACAAATACAAGGACCGCAGAGCTGCTCCCCTTCGTTACACATCATTGACAGCAAATTATCCACATTACCTGAATTGTCAGACCGGTCGCCCATTAGCCATTACGGCGGTGTGAACGTGACCTTTGCCGGCCATTAAATGGCACACTTTGGCTCCGAACGAACGCGGCGATGCTGGGATTCCGTGGAGCAGCGTCCCGGAATCGGAAATTTATGCGATTCTTGACACTAGTTGCGTGGCACATCCGTGGACTACACAGATCACACTGGGAGAAAGTTGAAGGTATTTTCTTAGGGGAATTTTATAGTGGATGTAAGGTACTAGAAGTACAAGGAGAAGGTTCTTATTTTGTGGAAATAGTTTTTTAAGAATTCTTAATTAAATATATCTAAATAAAGGGATATAAGTAACTTGATTTTTCAACTCTGTAAAGTTATTAAATATTTTATAAAATGTCCCTGTTAGAAGGATAATTAAATATTTAAATTCTGGGTTTAGTTTCTCTTAAACTTTTCTCCATTTTAATTATCAAAGATTTCTGATACATTTTCGACTTTTATTTTTTTTGTTCAGTGCATCTCCTCTCGATGATGATGGCTTTCAGAACACCAGAAGATCTCGGCTTTGAACGGTTCTGTTCCGTTCGGTGGAACAAATGAAATGCGTGAGCAATAAAGTGGTTGTTGACCTGTGACGGCGGCAGGGTTGCTTCCCTCCTTCAGTTATTTGTTGGTAACAGGTGTTGGCCACTCGGGTAATCACGGCCATTTCGATGCCACCAGCAGTTAGCTAGCTCCTTGGCCAAAAAGGGTTGGTGTTAATTAATGGCAGGTTTAAAGTCGATGGCGGTAAGCGAGAACCATAATTTATTTAGCCATTGAATTTGTTGGCAACTGGCAATTGATTTGTGTGTTTGGCAAACTTTTTGCGGTCTAGAAAAGTTCAAGGAGTTAAAGGGAAATTAACTCAATCTGAAAAAAAAAACCTAAAGAATTAAGTAAGTTTTAAATTTCTCAACAAATGCTAGGATAATTTAATCAAATGATGCCATAACAACAGAGATTTCTTCAAGTTTAAAGCATTAAAACATTACCCTAAAGCTCAAGACTTTAATCCACTTGAAACTTGAATCATTTGCAGTACTTTCCCTCTGACAGCACCTCATTTGCACTTGAAAAACCTATAAATTGAGTGATAACTCCGGCATCCCAGCGTCTTCAAAAAGAGCAATCTATACACAAATCGAAATGGCCGCCGCCAATCCACGGGAATCTCTCATAGATTATTATTTCGTATTACTCATATTGATTTCCAGCCGCAAGAAAAGTTTTATCGCAGCAGGCTGGGCGGGCGGGCAGGAGGAAGGGGAGAAAAGGAGCTTGGGGCGGATGTATTCGGATGAAAAAAAACTGCGGGAAAAATAGAGAAAATATAAACCAAGCACTCACATTGATTGCTTTCCTGGCCGAATGAATCAAGCGAAAATGTGAATGAATTTCGCACGTTTTAAGTGCCAAATTATCGGGTACTCACCGGCGGAAAGGAATATCAAACAGTTTGGCTGCACAGGTTTAAAAACAATAAACTTTCAACAATCAGTAGCAGCAGCAGCAG